TAATTCATGGTACTTAATATTTCTGTATAAAAATTATAATATGTGTTATACATATAAGTAGGTGGGTATATATTTATAAATTTACATATGTATGTAATATGTACACCGCATATAAAATGAACATAAAGTAGAAAAATAACTTTTATTCTTGATATTTAAAAAACAAAAAATAAAAATTTCTAAATATTTATAACACTTTTAAAGCATTGCATAATATTTGTAGAAAAAAATTATTTTTTTTGAGAAATAAAATTAATATAGAACAAGGAATAAATATGAAGGATATTTTGGTTTTCTCTTTTTTTTGTTTTTCTTTGCTAAAAACGTAACATTATAGTTTCACCCCATTTTAAATACTAACAACTAGCTATGTATAAGAAAAATTTAATATTCTGCATTGAAAAAAATATATTTCAATATTTATAATTAATATTGAATATTTAATAAAAAATAGAAAATGAAATATACTTATACATTAACAATATTTATGAAATTTTATGGTACGTTCTTTGAAATTTCTCGTCTATGCTTTTGAATAATTTCCCACCACCCTGTACAATAGATATGTGTATTATAGAAATTTCAAAATCAGCGTTATATTCTTATAGGCTAGCAAAGTAGCCTCACTCCCAAAATATTTGCCACAATATGTAGTTTAGGAAATATTTGACTTTTTTATGGATAAAATTATATTCGGAACTTTATTTTATATACATATCTAGCTTAAAAAGAAAAAATTTTTGGAGTGAGGGTTAAGTCACCTAGCTTCTGAGTCTCTTAAATATCTTTGAGATTTTAAATAATCGAAATCTATGATATTATAAAATGGGTCATCGATTCGCAAAATCAAAAACTTTAAACCTGTGAAAATGAAGTTGGAACAATCAAATAAAGCCTCAGTAAATTTATTCTATTGCATTCAGAATCAGAATAAACATAATTTATCTCTATTAACAAAAGAGTCGTATAGAATTCCAAATAATGTTTGTACTTCATATCATACGAATGTTCTTGAAAAAGTTGCCTAGAATTCAAAGTTAAAAATGAGATTACAAACCATAGAACGTGTAGTCGTTTATCTGGTTCAACTCTAATTCGGGTAGAAAAAATTTTTGAATTCTTCTTCCTTGACTCGTTCCTTTCGTTGCATCATCCATGTGTTCTGCAGTTTGCATAAAGGAATTTCAATATCATTTTTATTCTGTTAAGAATATGCTCCTTTCAAAAATTTCCGATAAATGTGGCGATTTTTCTAAATCTCTTCTTATAAATAAAAAAATAAAAAATTGAGGTTTAAATTGAAATTTTTCCTTACAATTCGAATTTTTATTGGAAATTTTCAACAAATTCAAGCTTAGACCGAGTGTTCAACCTTAGACAGTCTATACTTGGCTTATTGTGTAAAAAACCAGTCTAAAAGGAAATTATTAATAAACAGCAGGAAATATATTAAAAGATATTCATTTCCGTTATTATTAAAATGATAGTTAAAATGATTTCAATCAAAAATGATCAATGAATTGACAACCTAATTATTATTCACAAACCACATACCCGTGTAAATTCTTTTTCACTTAAATTGAAAATTGAATTGGAAAAATTGTTATTAACTTGTTTGTTGTACAATTTGAAAGCGAATATTTTATACGTTTCTTATACGGTCATTCCTATGCTCTTCCAGTCTTTCTCTATATTATCAATAATATTATGTTATGTGAACGCTCATACTCTCGCCCTATAAACGTTCAAGGAAGCTCTTTTAAAATACGAAAGGAAAAAAAAAACAAACCAAATTTATTTTTGACTTCTGATTGGCAGTTTATAATATCAAACTTCAGTAAGTTTTTAAAGTGTGCTTCATTCTACTAAAATATTTTGGTGTATTAAGGAAATAATGAAAAAAAAACAAAATCAGAGAAAAAAAAAACAAATTAAATCCCGATCATTTCGATATTCTTATATTCTTTTTCTCATCAGTCCATCAAATTGAAGTATTATTATTTTTTTTTATATTATTGTACTCCTTTTTAATGGTTACCTGTCTAAATTACCTGCAGATGTTCATTTCTTTCATATATACCAATATCTTTTTTTAAACAGTCACTTCTTTGATCTCTCATCTCCATATAATATGTTGAAAATTATATATATACATGTATGTATATAGATTCAAAATATTCGGAACTTGTATAATTCTCAAAGTATTAAAAAAATAATTTGTTTAAATAAAACTGAACAGATCAAGATCGTATAAGCAAATCGTTTACATCAATCAATATTAATGCACATCAGCAAATTTTATTTATTCTTATTTCGTTGGTGTTATTTTCGTTTCGATGATTGGAATAAGATTTATTCCAATTTCCTCCTTCTGTTATTAAATTGTATAAATGCATTGGATTTATTAAAATGTGCAAATTAATAACAGACATATACGCCTATATTTATTTGTATATCACCTATATGTACATGCAATAATATTGTTTTACATGATTTTCTATATTATACACACGTACATAATTCGATTATTCTGTATAAAGATTAATCGAATCGAGAGAATGAAAAGAGGATTCAGAATTTAACGGTGTAAAAACTTTATACGGCAAAATGTCAAAACGGGACAGTCGTTTCGTTGGGCGGCTACAGAGAGATGTCATCATGCGAAACTGTTCCTTCCATCTTTCTTAAGGAAGTTCTCTTCAGAGTTGCTTGAAATGGACCGAAATTGGGTCCATGTAATTACTCGTTTCTTTACTGGTCATTGTGCGATGAAATATCACTTGCAAAAACTTGCTAAATCGGACTCCCTTTTATGTAGGTTCTGCCCGGACGGCGAGGTGAGAGCTTGCTATCAGAAGGTGTAGATGGTTTTGGCGGCGATTTCTCAATGTGGAGGAGCTCACGTCCAACACCCTGATGAATATTTCCGGTTTTTGCTTGGGACCGAGGTAGTGTGACCGGGATACAATAAGCTATGACTGGTTGTGGTGGCTATGTGGAAGGATTTCCTTTGTCCATGTTCCTATTCGGCTATTCGGAACATTGCTGACACAGAGACCATCTGAGGAAGTTTATCACTTTCTCTAAAACCGTTTCTGTTTATGCATCAAATGAAAATTAGTTGATTAACTTTTATTTCAAGCTACCGTTTACAGCTTTAGAATATCTGTATTATTTTACATTTTGTACCTCATTTTTTATCCAATAAAATTTTAAACAAATTTATATACATGCATTTCCAAAAATGTATAAGTATATAGCCGTTCTATACTTATATATACATGTCCAATATTGCATACATATCGAATCCAACTGTCCAATATAACCTTTTTGAATATTATTATGTATTGAAACATGTTTTTTACGCAAATTTTAAGTCAAGATTTCTTGGCGTTCTTATTTCTGTTTTATTAAAAATAAAATGAAAATGCAGTCAATAAAGGCGGATTTTAATGATTTATTTTCGTGCTTTTTTATTTTATTTTTTTTCATTTCATTCAAAAATAGCTACATGCGTAAATTAATGTTTTTCATGGTTCTACTCTTCAATCAAATGTCACTAAACTCATATAAGATGGTTTCTGTATAATATTATGTATTTGTGTCTTCTACTCTTTTTTTTTTTGTAACTCTTCAAACTTGTAATCCAAACAAGAAATTTAAAAAACGCTTAAGGATTATTCCTTAATTGTATAAGGCGTAACTCCATCAGTTTTATTTGTGATTTGAAGAATGTATGTTGTGTAAGAAAATAGAAGAAATGCGCGGTTCTTAGTTAAAATTTCAAATATATTTTTGCAAAATTTCAGTTTTGTTAAAGATGGTATAAATATAAATCCGGTAAATGAAGAAAATAAAGAAGATCAAAATAAATTTTAATAAAATTAGTATTATTAGTATGGTGTTTGTGGTTCATAAAATACACTGCTATAGGTTTCCAAATAAAATTATTCATTTAGGTCGTAAATACATTAATATCCTTCTAGTTACTTGATTAAAAGCTAGAACTCTCAAATTTTTGGAATCTAACTGGATGTTGCGTGTCCTTAATCTAAATCTGGCTATTTTGATCTTGGTGTTGGTGTCGGTGCTTTGAGGTCTGTATTATCTTGGAATTTATATTACGTTTAACTATGAAAGCGGTATTGTGACTCAACTTTTTTTCTGTTTTTGCAATTTTTTTTTTGTACGTAAAGCTTTATCCAAAAAATTTTTTGGGTCTCTTACACTAATAAACTCTAGCCTTACTAACTCTCTACTATTTCCTTTTCTGTCCTCATCAAATGATCATGATATTGCTAGGCAATCTGATAGTAGCATTTTTTTTTGCGTCTAAATGATGATTATTTTGGCTCTTTTATGCAACATTAATTTACAGGGCAATTGAAGCTTGACCTAAGCAACTCATCTTAGTATAACAAATTAGAATCATTCTCAGTTACAAAATTATAATATAATCAAAAATAGACAGCTCATTAATAAATGACTTTGAATTTTATGATTATATCGTCATACGTACATAAGTAAATCTTCAGTAGCCTCCATCATAGTCATAAAATTGTTACACATTAATTAATACTATTAAAAAAAATATGATGTTAAAAGTTAAATATCACGCAAACAGAATTGTAAAATACGCTGTATGCTCAGTTAGTCAGCAATTTCAAAAAAATTTAAATAAAATTTTAACAAAAATTTTTTTTTACGTGTGTCACCTACAAAGAAAACTATGTAAACATTTTACTTAAAATATTGTTGACACAATTAGTCATTTTCCTAAATTAAAAATTATTAAGTAGATTTTTAAAAAAAATATTAATATCCCTTCAACTTATAATTTAAAAAGATGATTATTAAATATTCAAATTTCTATATAAAAGGTGAATTTTATTAAAATTATGGCAATAGTACCGACTTAGTTAACGAGATTAAAGAAAATATTTAAAATTTATTTAATTATTTAAAATATTTAAAAAAAAAAAATTAAAAATGAAGTTATACACTGCTCTAATATTTATATTTGGATTTATTATAATTGCGAAGGCTAAACATACAAGAGAACATATAGAATTATTTAAACAAAAAATGGAAGAATGTAGAACTGAACAAAATGTTTCAGATGGTATAAAATAAAATTGATTAAATATAATTAATAAATTTCAAAAGTTTTGTAAATCAGTGCTTCTTTTGTCTTCAAAAACCTGAATGAAAGCGGTATGCGGTATGCTGTAATTCTCAAAAAAAAATTTGTTCAATATTTAATGTGATTTAAAACAAGTTTGGAGCCGCATACCATCGGGATAGTCGAAAAAGAGTAAAATTTTTGTTCGGAACATAGAGTCAAATCGGAATCTTTTTCGGAACTACAAGAATTTTAAGAAAATTTGGCGAAATTTTAGTATCTCCTCTTTGGTATATTATAACTCCTAACTTTTTACTGAATCACGTTGTAATATAAATGCGCACTACCGAAATTTGACGCTCGGCATTCGCACTCCTATTTTCATTGTTTCTGACGTGTCATTTCGTATAGAAATTTCAATCATATAACATCAATTTATTTTACCACGCCGGACATGCCATAATTTTGATTATTGCATACCGCATCCATTTGGGACCAGTCAGGAGGATTCAAAAAGTAAAATACTAAAATTATATTAAATTTTATTTTAAGATGTTATTGGTAAATTTGTCACCAAGCAAATAAATCCGGAAGTTAAATGTTTTGCAGCATGTGTTATGGGAAAAGTTGGATTGGTATAATAGCATTGAAACAGAAATATTTTATAATATTTTATAATATTATAAAATTTTTGTAGATGAAAGAAGACAACACACTTAATAAAATAGTAGCTTTAGAAGGTGCTAAAGATTTTTTTGGTAATGATCCAGAATTAATTAAAAAATTAGAAACAGTTATTAAATCATGTTCTGGAGAAACAGATGCTGATAAGTAATATTGTTATACAAATATAATAATAATTTCATAATTATTATAGTTCTTGTATTTTTTTAAGGTGTGAAGCATTTCATAAAATATTCACTTGTCTTGAAAATAAACGTATAGAAGAAGGAATTGAAATGATATTTTAAATTGAGTGTACGTACTCGTATAACAAACATAAAAAAAGTGTTATATGACACAAATTTTTTGTTATATAAAAAAAAATTAAAATAAAATGCAGTTTTCAAAATGATTACAATCAAATTTTTTTTTAAATTTTGTTAATCAATGGAATTAATGAATTTATATCTGCAATTTCAAGTTGTTCAATGTTAACGTTATTGGAAAATAAACTAAGATTTCAAGTATTCCACCCAAAATAACATTTTATTTGCTGCTGCAATTTGGCGGTCTTGGAAAGTAAATTATGTTATTTAAATACTTCAAGCTACTTCTCTAAAAATTTAACATGTATGCAATATTTTATTTACTGAGGCAAAAAAAAATCAAAAAGTGCACTTAATTCAATTAGGGCAAATGTCGGTTTGCACATTCGTGTTCTGTGGTATTGATATTATTAATATTATTTCCAGCGCTGGATCTACCATATATGCAAAGCAAGAATTTTTGCAATGAGCGTTGGAAAACAGGAGGCGCTAGTGAGATTTTAAAAAAAAAAATTCCAATATTTTTCAATCTTGGTTTTCTAAAAAAATTTTTCTTTCTATTTACGACGAAATTAACCTGATAACATGTGCTTACATAAGAGGTATACGTTAATACCTATACAATCATCGTGAAACAAAAAGCTGGAAATTGAATTCTAGATTTAAATTCTATGATTAATCTTGCATTCAGCATGATAAAATTACGGAAAGGTGATTTCTTAGGAGCAATGTGCAATGTTTATTACTTAAAAAAAGGTGAGGGCTGGGAAACGTGCACTTTTTAGAAGCTGTATAGAGCGTCAAACAAATTAGAACCAAGCCAGATTAACGTATTTTCCCAGTATAACAAATTTAAAATTAAAGAAAGATTTCGAAAGATTTTCGCATTAAGATTAAATTTCCTAATTTTATTATTTTAAAGATTAAATTAAATATTATAGAGATGGAGAGCACCTAAATAAAATTTTATTAATATACGATTTGGCTTTTAAAGATGATTTTACTTTAAAGGTGCCGCAATATACCCATATAGATTGATTTTATTATATTATTTATATGATAGTTATATTTTTATTGATTTCAATATTCGCAATAATATTATGTTGATAGAGGAAGATTTATAAAATATTCTGAGAAAATTATTATTCTTTACTAATTTAAAATCTTGATTAAGATCCAATTTATACCATTTATTTATTGGAGAATATTTATACTATAAGTGCGGATTTTTTATTGTGGGTATGCCAAAATAAAATTTTTATAGAATTTTTATTAAGAATTTTTTACAATTTTCACAATTTCCAATCAAAAATAAAAATTTATTGCCTTTATTATTTTAGGTTAATTTTTTTGAAAATTTTGAAATGAATTCATCAATTAATTCGGAAATGCAAAAGGAATAAAAATTATGCAATAAAAACATAAAATTTTATTTTTCTTTCATAACATTTTTCATTTAATCAAAGGAATCGTTATTTACGATAAACTAAATTTTTTAACATTATTGCTTTTATTTTACCAAAATTATACTATTGCTTTTAGCTATCGCTTTCAAATATAATATTGCTTTTCCTTCATATTGATTTAGGCGTTTTAAGTTATAAAATAATCTGGGCTTTTAAGATACCAAATCTTTTATACTGTTAATGGTAATTTTTTTTATTTTATTTAAAATTTTGTATCTGCATACATACATACATACGTAACGTATATGACTTTAATACCAGACCTAGTACACAATTTTGTGTTATAAAACTTTCTACATTTTAGGGATTTTTGTTATATTTATATACAATTATACGTAATATAATATTTAGGTCAAATAATTTGTATATAAGCAAGTGAAATCTTATTTTTAAAAATTAGGCTTTTAATAAAATTTTAATTTTGCTTTTCAGCCATTTAAAATTTACACAGAGCACCTCGTATTTGTTCTGATAAATTATAAGTGAAATAATGGCTTTGAATAAATGAAATAGGATTGATATTGCAGGCTGGAGTTAAAATTTTTTAAGAAATCTAGGTTTAAGTGAAAAAAAAAATATACGATATGAAATTTTTTTTTAAATATTTTTACGGTATTACATCTTGGGGTCTATTAGGCTCTACTGTAAGTAAATTGTTTTACGAAAACAAGTACGTAGTATGTAGTAACTAGTAAAAATAGGTTAAGCTACATGCATAATTGCTATAAAAATTTATTCTAAAATTAAATAAAATATAATTGTATTAAATTTATTTTCATAAATTGCATTCTCGTATAGTATCTATTTGTAAAAATTTGGATTAACCAAACATTTTCTATTTACAAGTTCCTACATTAATATATATGCATGTATAACAGTTTCTTATATGAAACTGTTATACGTATACCAAAAATAATTTAGTACACAATACTATCTTTGATAAAAGCACATTATTCTTTGCTCATAATATAAAAATAATTTATTGTATATGTTCAGATTAGTTGAACAACACTGTATGTACACTCTACTATATTCTACAAATATTTTATAGACTAAAAATACTATTATACAATATCAAAATGAAATTTTTAATAAATCATTATTATTAATTTGAGATTATCTTGTTCATATCACTATTTAAGAATATCGCGATTATATTTAATGAACAAAATTTTGTATAATACCTAAATGTATAATATAAAAGTTCTAAAAAGGATAAAATTGTTAACAAGAAATTCATAAATCTTATATCATTAATTATAATGAGCCAACCATATTATTTACTATATATACATACACACTTTTATTAATTGATTTAAGTACTTAAATTCATAATTTTTCTTTTAACATATTGTACTTGAATATTGTATATAAATTCAATTTCCATAATATGGTTGCAGTGTTTATGGCTATATTATATGATATTTTCTTACATGACATTAATAAATAATAATAAATGCTTTTTAAAAGAGTACATCGTATAACACATAGTATAAATTTTATATGTTATGAAAATTCGCAGAATTTTTATCATTATAAAACACGTAAGAATACAAAATAAATATCAAATTATAAAATATTAACGATTTAGAACCGAAAAAAAAAAAAAAATTAAAATTTTGAAAACTTGTGTACGAACAACGTTATAGTTGGCACACATTAAGAATCTGTGATTGCACTTCTAAAGAAAATTACAAAAAATTACAGTATGGTTTTTGTTTTTCATTCCGTATAATATAAAATGGATATTACATTTTTAACGCTAATATTATTAAACCACATTAAGTACATTTACTATATAACAATATGTATAAGAAGATTCAAAAAAACCTATATGATTTATGTGAAATTCCCCTTATGACAGATAATAAAGCTATATGTATAAGTGTGTTTATATTCATTCTTCTGATAACATAATATTATAAATTACTTTGCATGTAAACCATGTTAGATGCACATGTAAGAATATTATAAAAAATAAGCAAATAGCTATTATACATTAAATTAAACATAATGTTATATTGGTATCTTTGTATACACAAACACGCATCATTTGGAATATCATATGATGACTACTCTTAAAGTTTATATAAAATCAAAAATGTATATTAACCACAATAATTCTAAATTTTTGAAAATCAAACAAAAATCCTAAAATAAAATACAATAAATTTATCGAATATTTATATTGTTTTAAAGAAAAATATCTATAGAAATCTTATTATAAGTATAAGTGTTATACATTATAACAATAAATAGATTATATTCGCGTTATAATATTTTCCTTCTTCGAATTTGTTATGGAATAGCATGAGTGGGTTACATAAAACACAAAGTCCTAAATATCATGATATGTAAAATAAATGAGAAGAGGAACAATATGGAAGTTACACAATATTAATACTTTGCACATAATTAATAACTAGAATAATTTTCTCTGAGATTTATATATAGTTGTTAAATTATAATGAAAGGATTTTCTCAATCATAAAAATATGTTTGCTAAATTTTATTATAAACTCTGCATATCACCTTGTAGTTGTTTTATTTATTAAGTGGCATCAGACAGCTAAATAATATGTGATAATCTGAAACTAAATGGTACAGAAATTTCAAAGTTCAGTGTGCTATAGCATTGTATGTTCAAGACATCTTATATTTTATTCGTCTTAAATGCATCATAAATATGCGTATTTACTTTGCTGCAAAAATTTACAGGTAGAACACTATAATGTGCTTAAATTTCAGATTAAAATTCAGTACTAACGAAAATTCTTACTATTACTCTATAAGTGATAGTAATTGGGTCAACGTTATCTAGTTGAATTACTTTTTAAAATGCTGCGTTTTCTTACAATTATTTTGATGTGGTATCTGTTCGCTGCTATAGTTCCATTCGGCACTGCAGTAAGGTATATATTTGCTACATTTATACCTTAATATTACAAAACAACAAAAAAATTTTGCAATATTAAAGCTCTAAGAACTTCATTCTGCCTTTCATTTACATTATATCTTGAAATTGGGGAAACTCTGTTTTGAGGTGCAAAGAGGTTGAATATGAAATAAAATACACAAAATTCAGTGACTAAATCAAACAAAAAATGAAATTTTTTAATCCAAATTCTAATTTTTCATATTTTCAAGTTGCGATATTAAAATTTTCATTGAAAATGCAAAAATACGTTAGTTTGTTGGTCTCATAAATCCCTTCTGCATATATGTAGATAATACACATAATAATTTTTTGGTTTATAAATTTTTAAATTATATGTGTGTAAATCTTGCCTTATTTTTTTAAAATTTAAAAATTATACAAATAAATTCGGTGTTAATTATTATAGAAATCATTATTATAATGAATTATAATAATAAGTTCTAAAATTATAATCGCTTCACGTGCAAATTAATAACTTCAAATATGTAAGTATGTGTATATGAAGAAATAGAGATTGAAACTAATAATTTGTTTAATTTTTGAAGAACTGTAAAGGTACGGTTCATATTAAAATTTTCTTATACATATAGAGGCATAGTTATTATAAAAATAAATGTGATATTTAATGGTCCGATTCAAGAGAGGTCAAATAAATAGGTTGAAT